ATCCTCTTAATATTATAATAATATGTTTATTCGTTGAGTATACCTACACTGTGCCAACATTCTAGGATATTATATTGTTAAAAAAACTCGTAGATTTCACTCTTTAAAAGTATGAATTTAATGTGTTATCTTCATTAATTTATAATTTTATACAATCCGATTTCCTACTGAATAAATAGCATACAATAATAATAATAATAATAATAATTATTCGAACAATCCTAACAATCATTGAAAAATATTAAATTAAAACTTCCTGGCTGTATAATATCTAATATAATAATAATATATAGTTTAATAGCTTATAAATTGAGTTAATGATGTCTTTGCAACTCCATGCTCTCCAATCATCGAGTAGGCACCCATTTGTATATTAATATATGCAAAGGTGGGCATAACTAGTTTTAAAGTTTTTGTATAAAAACTTTTTAAGTTAAATAGTTAGTCCATATTAAATTGAACTTGTTAAAAAAATCTGCTGTAAAAAACTTAGATTATCTAGTTAGGTAATTTGAAAAATAATACACTCTATTTCAATTATAAAACCATATTTAACATGACATAGTATGGTTATATGATATGATACCTATGCATCTACTACAACTTTAATCAGCATAGGTTTTAAATACAAAACAACAAATAAATATTCTTTGATTTAATTATTTAGTTTACATAAATATGTAACTAACGAAGCCTCTACAGACTATGTTCAAAAGAAGGAATATTGTAAGATGAATTTTTAACAAAATATTGAATTATTATTTAAAATAAATTGATAGTTACACTATCACTCATTTGAGTGAATAAAATGGTAAAAAATAACTAACTTCTTTTTAACCGAGTTAAGCTTTTATATTTTTCTTCACATGAACTTTAAGCTTGCAGAGTTATATCGTCTGTTAGCCTTTATCGACTTATAGCCTAACGTTGACTTAACTCAACAAAAGTCACTAGCTCGCCCACCTTTGAACGTACTATTTGTTATTTAATATAAAATAGATTCAATGTGAAAAGATATATGTATATATATATATAATATATTAGTTTATTCATTATAACAGCGTATAATATATACCTAGATATTGTAATAAAAACAAAGTTCGAACGATTTAAAATTTAAATATTATTAATATCCTCGAAACGGCATTGCTACATATACTATATTTAACTATACCGTGTAAAACTATATATTTAACTACTAAAATATCATGATATTACGGTGCATGTACTACGACTACCACTACGGGTCTACTTAAATTGTATACATAACGTCATATGATGTGTGCGTGTATATAATATTATAAATCATAATGAAGAATAATAATATAGGTATAAACGCACAGAGTTCGTTTTGTAGCAAGTAACAACGCAGCAGTATTTTATATTTTAATAAAAATATACAAAGTATATAATTAATATGATGTAAAACTATACTTATCGGATGACGATGAGCTACTGGCTACTGCAGTGTGTTGTGGCCCGCGTAACGTCAAATGCATTATTCAACACTGCACCCGCAAGTGCAGTTTGCAATTGCACTTTATGCGAGTACTAATGCACTATAGGTAATGATACTATAATAATATACTTTGCCTAATAAAAATATACAATTGAACGTCACACGGGTCGTGCAGCGTAAAATGGGCTGAGGCCAGTGGCATAATCATGCTTTTCGACGGGTGCCGATAAGTCCGTGATTTTGCCTGTATCATGGTATAATAATAATATTATTATGGTGAGGTATTTACGCGAGCAATTATATAGGATTTCCTGTGCCAACGATATGTTCGTAATATTATATACAGTCGAAATCCGTACAAAAGCGATCGCGTCACACTCCGATCCGGTGTGCATCATAACAATGTAAACTTTGTATTGTGTGCATATATGTTATATACTAAATATAATAATATCATAGAAGATCACAGCATTATGACTACATAATAATAATAAAAATAAATAATAATATAATATTATTGTACATAAGAAAGTTCAACCTATACGACATATTATGCGCAATAGTCGGATATAACTTATATGAGGAATAGGCGGGGCGGTTTCAAATTTTGGAAACATTTGGGAAAACAATGTTTTTCTAAATCGTTTTTACTGTGACCTACATACCGATAACTACGGTTTACCAAGCAATCTCATTTTTTTTCGAATTCTGAATTTTTGGAATAATTCTTATTAAGTAGTATGCTTAAGGCCTTAAGGTCCATATTTTTATACTATAAAGCAGTGCTACCATATCCTCCGAACATATTATCTTCAGTACCTACACAAAGTTTAATAATATTGAAAAGCTACTCGTTCGAATCGCAATGAAGGTACATCAATATTTTTAAAAAAAGTTGTCTGCTTAAGTTGCTTAACCAGTTAGGTACATGTAAAAATGAGTACCTATTTACTCTAGATGGTATTACAACAGGACACTTCCCCTAAACGAAAAGACACAACGAAGTATTTGAAAATATGGTCTTTAAGTAAGTGTTCGTATTTATGCGAGACAATTCTAAAATCTTAACTGTAGGTCTAAAATGACGTAGGAATGGATTTATAATATTATGGCAAACTTGTACAGAAATTGTTGTGGTAGCATGAAAAAAATTTAACCTATCTTAAATCCTTCTATAGAGATTCTATCATCATAGACAAGTACTACACTTGGCTGGCGACAGGTTAAGTTTTCTTCGATGGGTCTCCTAAGCCGCGCCCTCCTTACATCGAATTACAAGTCATTATTTAGTCGGTGACGCATGCATCCTTTCCCTAGGTACGTTGTTCACTATACATAAATCATAAATACATTAAAATATTTAGAGTCACGTTCGTCGAAAATAATTACGAAATTATAGGCATTTCGGATAACCAAACCGCTCTTGCCGTAGCGGTTTGCCATTAAATTTTCATCGAACGATGTTGCAGAATACATGTATAAGAATAATTTGAATGATATGGCTGTAAATATAGGTATATATCTGCGTATTCAAATATCAGAACTGCAGTTGCGGAGAGATGACGAGACATTTTCAATCTCGAAATGGGTTTGTTTGATTTCATTTGCTTCATTAGTTAAACAGTAAATATTCAACTCGCTATCTGGTGCGTGGTACTTAAACTTCATATTATAGTTACAAAGTAAAAATATTTCAAAGAGGTTTTTGTAATTATGTATATTATTATATCAACGAACAATTGAAGACATAAGGTTCAAAAAGTAGACTGCTACAGATACTTAGAGAGAATCAAGTAGGTACATGATATTATTTAAGATAAGAAATCTGTGAAAGTTAAGTTCCACTGCCCCGAGAAAACGATGAGATACAGGCACATATATATTATGACAATAAATTGTCTCAAGACGATGAGGGGCGGCTACGCGCAATGTCTCAACTTAAAGGTAAGTATATAAAAATGTTTGAAAAAAAGTTTTTTTACAATATAATATCATGTATACAGAGTGATTTTTATTTTATTACTAACCGGATTTTCGGTACTTAATTTATTGCTCATCGAACTTTAAAGTCACACACATATTGCGGTACAGCCCGGTACAGGTATTATACGTACTCAACGAGGCCGCTCGTAGGAGCAAATAGGGAAATTGTGGGGGGGGGATGACTTCACATTCCATAAATCAAGTATATTATTTAATGATTTATTTTGGACAATTTATAAAATAAACCCAATGTAATATATAACCTCGTTTTTCATTTTATATCTTCTATATACAAATAGAGCTACTAAAATGATATTATAGATATACAATAATCGAGACCTAACTAAATAAAAATTTTTAAAAAAACGTAATTTGTTGATAAAATAAATTACGTATATACTATAAGATAATATGCAATCGGTTTTTATTTGTATTTTATGCATTTGTTTAGATCTTAAGCATCGGCATTCGGCCACTATGGCCATTATAATTTTTGCAAAGGGGCTTATGGTTGGTCGAGGAACACGTGTATTTTGGACGAGGATTCGTCACTGAAAACCGGTTTGGTCATCCATCCGGGAACTAGCGACGCCGGCTGACGCTTGGCCTCAGAAAGTTAGAATAGGTTAGTGACAGTTTTTTTATTTATTTTGATGATAATTGAAGGCGTGGACGGCGCAGTATATCTCCCTCTCCCTTAGTACTTTAGTACATTTTTCATCTGCATAATACACGAAAGACTTCGGTTAAGTTGTGCTATTTTCACCCAGTTGCCTTAAAGTCTAAGACCACGTACACATTATAATGACATCAACTTACAATATAGAACGTATAATACTTGCACCGCAGTGTACACCTATACTGCATATTATGATATATAGGTAAAACGTCAGCTGGATTATAACAAAAATACATCGAAAATCACTCTGTAGGTGATACATGCTATAAACCGGAGTAATAAACATATAATATCGAAGGGATCGGTTGTGAAAATGTCTCAAAGTCTATAATATTATTATTATAGTGGGGCTAGGATGTTTATACATGCACTGGTATTATGTTTTTTTGCAACACCATTTTATAAATTTGTTTTTTACTTTGCGTATTTCAGTTGCACAGTTAAAATTGTTAAGTATTTCCAAAAATGCATGTGTTATGAAAATTTTTTGATTGAGCCATTAATATAATAATATATGAACATAGCAAAAGTATCTAACTCAGTTCAGTGTATTGTCTAATAAAATTTAAAAATATTTTACTGTCGTTGTATGTTGCATAATATAAATCTCAGCCCTAATGATTGTTATGAAATCTACACGGACAACGAGTGAGGTCACTCTTGGGTCACTATATATATATCGTTATGTATATGGGTAGGCTGCTTTTGGTGTAAACTACGTTTGGACCTTTTTACAGCTGAAACTATTTTTTTCTATACTACTATACAATCGCGTCGTACCTACGATAATACGGCGGTATGAATGTAATAACTAAATACAAAAATCAGTAATGTGTGTCGTTCGGGTGCGATAATACAATGCAATAATAATAATATTACCGATCGCGTCATTTCCGGTCATCGAGTACCTCGGGTAACCGTGGTACGACAGGTTCCTGTTGGTGCCTAGAGCGAAATCGTCCTTGGTCCATTGAAGTTTTCCGGCCAGATTGTCGACCCTGCAGGGCAGCGACACCGTCGAGTCCACCACCGCACTCCGATCCTCTGGCTCGACGGCGAAGGATTGTTCGTTTGACGACGCACGACCGGCGGTGGCCACCACTAGGGCCACGCACATGACAATAATCTTCAGTCGTCTCGTCATACTCGTTCATCTGCCAACACGATTAACAATAATATTAATATCGTTGTAATTTAATGTAATACGTATTATTGTTTTTATTTTTTATTAACTTTTCAAGGAGCATCAAGTGCGCGGTTATTATAGATGGTTTTAGATTATATTATTATGTGCATTGGAAATTGTCAACTTCATTCACATTACATTTCATTCAATAATATTCGATTACAATGAAGATTGTTTTCTTAGAAGTTAAATTGTTATTGGGGTCAGTTTATTAAATAAAGACCTTAAACATTTTGAACAAAATATATAGGTACCTATATATTATATAAATGTTATTATAATGTGGAGAAAACATCAAAGTAAAACATTATCATACCCCTATAGATCATTAAACAAATTATTCGTTATTTTCGAAATATTATATACTACCTATATTATGTACATTTTAATCATCAAGGTTAGGTTAGGTTAGGTTAGTGATATGTAAAATATGTGTACGTAAAATATACTATACACATTTTTAGTGGCTTATAGTTATAAGTTTTGGGGATGAGGTGACCGAGTGGTCTGACGCGTCCGCTGCGACGCAGCCGGTCGCGGTTCGATCCTCGGCTACCGGGCGGCATTTTTCTCCGGACAAGTCGTGGTGACCGGAGAACAAGTGCTGCCATCCCCCACCCCCGGGGCATGGCAGAAACCTGCGGGTGCCCCATTCGAAATTCTGCCAAAAACAAACACACACGTGTTCCCCCCTACCGTCCCAAAATATACAATACAAACAAACCTACAATACAAATCCTACTACAGCTAATGGCCTCAGTTGCCGAAGCTTAAGATCAATAAAAAAAAAAAAGTTATAAGTTTTGTATTCGCGCCATTTACGAGAGTTCTGGCACAAACAATTATAATACCTAGCAGTACAGGTACTCCTGACAGGCGTCGATCAAACGTATAAATTAAACTATAATTTACTCGTAAAATCAACAATAAAAATTAACTAAATCGTATGGTAACATTAACTCAACATTAAAGTTATAATATAGTACACATTTAATTATGCATTCAAGCTATTAAAATAACTATTAAAGTTTAACTATTTCCAATTTGTAATTTCGACATTATTTATAGCAATCACCGAATAACATATTATATTATCTCTAAATTTTTAGTTAGAGAAATTGTAATTACAATTAAATTAGTTATTTTTTCTCTTGACATACGTATCTGATCATTAATATTATTTTATAAGTTACGATATTCTAAAAGATGAAATACCAAAATATTCATTCGTGCCTAATGAAAAATATATTATATTTTTTATATAATAAAAAAAACTTAGTTTTTGAATAGATGATTTGAGGTGAGATGAGTGAGAGGCATCAGCACGTTTTACATACAGTCGACGTTGAAAATATTTATTGTTCTGCAGGGTTATGTGATAACTAAATAAATTCATTTTTTAAATTTGTTACCTCGACAAGTCAAAAAAGGTTGCGAGATCCTTATCCTTCCCCAAACACTTTGTCCATTTGACTAAAAGAAAAAGGAAAATCACTTTGAGTTTTTATAATATTGTATAAGAGCTGATTAATGTGGGTATATGGTCTCTAGAAGTTTGTGGTCGCGAACACGCGCGATGGAGACATCAGGAGAGTCTCGCGGTATAATATCATATCACCAGCGCCGTTTTTGTAAAACGAATTTCTTGTAATTTTTATGCTGGAGGTATCTTACCTATACACAATATACTTAAGCTCACACCCGCGCGTGACGGATTTAGCAGGGGTGAGGGATGACGTTGATTTAAGGGCCTCACTTAGATTTTTTAACTATAGGCATTATGTACATGCAAAATAACAATTTAAAAGTGTTAAAAAAAGACATATCTGCTTAACCAGAACTTGGAAAATTGTTTAAAAAAAAAAACCACGCTCGCATATATAATACCAAAATATGATTATTTCGTGTTATGCACGAACGGCTTTTAATCCATAGTATGAGTTTTTGTTTCCAATTTTATTTTAGATTTTAAAGAAGACGGGGTGACACCGGATGAATCAATATTATGTTTGAGCTATAATGTAGGTGTTGTAAATAGTAAATTAAACACACACACATTATATAATAATGTTGTTGCTTTTAGTTTATCTATACACGTATCTGTTTCGAATAAAATATGAAAGAGACATTTCGAGAGAGTAAAATCACAATAAGAATGAGAAGTTTTTTACAAAGAGGACAATTACAGTTTAGAACCTAATCGTTGCACTTTAAAGGCCTTCTAAGACATTTAGATTCGGATACAGATGCGCATCAGTCATATTTTATTATATTAATATTATTTTCAAACAAAACGCGGGGCAAGTTCAATAGAAAATAATTAATAATTACATATAATAATCAAATGCATGGTATAACTTCAGAAACAGATAAAATAATATAACAGAAAACAATTATTTGGACGGACGTGACAAAAAAGCTGAAAATTTAAATGGGTAACACAAGTAGACCAACTTAAAAATGATGCATCCTCAATCCTCATCGTTCAAATGCATCGTTCAAAAACGGGGATTATTCCTCGAATAATACTAAATAATAGAGTGTTGCGTACAAAAGGAAATGTAATAATCAGAAATCTTACTTTAGTTAAAAACAGGTTTTCCGAATTGAATATAATTCACCAACTCAGGGGCATCAAAATAAGGCATCATTAATTAATAATTTTTCCATTCAAGATAGATTAGCCCCAATTCTTTAGTCGGATATATAGTGCGATGAGATTTAAGTCATAGACTAGGAAGTGAGTTGTAGTTAGGTTGGGGATGGGAGGAGGTGGAATGACACTCGAGGAAAGCCGTTAATATTGTTATTACGATATATAATAATAAAAAATAATATCTTTTAATAATATTGCAGTGAGTTGGCGGTGAATTGCACTAACTATTGTACTATATTATATTATGAGACGACGAGCACGCGATGACGACAATACGCAACAGCTATACCGTCTTCGGCTGTGGAGTACACAGAGGCGAAGGTTGGTTTATTTTTTTTGTTTCTTATTGTGAAAAGCGATGATCGAAATCGTTACAATATTATGGCTTCCGATTTTACTATTATTATTATTGGTTTTTGTGTCGACTTATACTAATAATATCGCCGACGGAACGAGCTGGAAATTACGGTCGGGCTACGCCCTGCGCAGTGTGTTTATATAATATTTATACCATGTACACGTATAGCAGCTACAGTGGCTACCAGCTATAGCTATATGTCCCGTCAGAATGGAACGAAAAAAAAAAATTCATAAATAATAATAAGTAGAAGAAAAAGTAGGAGGAAAATCGCTGGAAGCCGTTTTTGTTATCGCATCTATAAACGGACGTTTGTGTCTATATTTTTTTTATACTATTATATTGTAATATATTATTATTATATCGTCTTCGTCATCGTCGGATGATGATAAACGCTTTCGCTTTGGGTTTTGAATTCGATCGCAAACGCCTTCGTAGTTGCATCAGTCGACGCACAACAATTATGTACCTACCGATAAATTAAGTATTTTTTTCTATACCTAATAGGGGAGTCGCACTCCGAGACGACAATGACATAATATAATTATTATTATTGTCACTCGTCTCGACGACACGTTATTATCATTTAATATTGTCAAACATTAAATTATAACTGTGCGCACCAATACGTATTATATTGTTATTATAGAGAGGCGCATATGGGAGACACGTCCGGAGACGACAATGTCGCGTGTGCCTATATAATTATAATTATTAAGGGCGGGAATTAACGATCGGTTTGTACAGAAGATATAATTCTCAGATAAAATATATAAATAATATTTTAATAATGACGACGAATTCCGTCAGCGTTCGGTGGCCGCTTAAAGAAGAAGGAAAAAATCGTCCCTATAACCCTGGCAACGGGCTCGGATACTACGCCCGACTCAGTGTTTTTCCGCTCGTTTACATCTAAATTGCGTAGGTAATACAACAATGGTTATGGTACAACCGGTATGTATATATTATTGTTATTATAACGACGACGACAAGGCGAGCAAACGGCGATTTCGATCGAGGCCGAAGAAAAAACACCTCGTTACCCGCAAACTTTTAACGGCGCGCGTACCACTCTATAATATTATTATTACGACGTATTATAAAGTGTAATATATTATTATTATTATATACCCTAACTCATCAACAGTGTAAAAGGTTATTTAAATATGCCGAGTGAAAGTCTGCACGCCGTTAACTAGTACGCGCAAAATACGTAATTCTAAATTTATTACTCGGTTTGCAATACCTACGAATAAACAGTGATGACGAATACAACCCGACTAACCAGCGAACGAGCTCGAGCTATATAAAGCCTGCAACAGCGGCGGGATCGTCAAATGTTCCGCTGCAGATATTTGCTGTAGTACTACTGTTTTTGGCAAAAAAAAAAAAAAAAACAACTCAGAAGGTTGTCAACCACATAAGAAAAAACGGCGCTCCGGCACCAATCGTCGGGCGGAGCATAAGACAGAAAATATGCACTAGCAAAAGAGAACCGCGTACGATAATAACCGAAATGGGTCGCTAGTCCAATAAGCCGCCGGTCGAAGACCACTGCGGGCACCATAGAGACGACTATATTATACGGCGGCGACGATTCCGGGCGAGCGGTTGTGTGCACAACACGACGATATTATTAGGTACATGTATATAGTCATAGGCAAATGGCAGTGTATACCTGTGTACGACATAATTGGATGACGACGGTGCCTCGTAAATGCAGTTTACGATCCGTAAGTATTGCGCGCACAGCTCGGATCAAAATATATATGTATATCGTCCATATCGTCGTCGACAATGGGCGTGATGGAGTGGTGTGTGTGTGTGTGTGTGTGTGTGTGTCGAGGGCGCAATCGAGGGCTGCAATTTCCACCCTTTCGGAATAATTCACTGTTCAGCGTTTCAGGTCAGTGCGCCGCGGTAGTGATATTATTATTAATTATTATTGGGA